AAATCTTATTTTATATTTCATTTTTCTACTGTTAAAATTCTTCCCTTCTGATTTGGAGGTGCATTTTACCTAAAAGGGAAGTCACAGAATGTGGTTAGTGGGAGGGATATCTAGTCCAGCCACCTCCTTTTACAGATTAGGACATTGAGGCCTGGAGAAGAGAGATGTCCAGTTCACAAGTTTATTTAGTCACACATCTGAGAGACAATGTGTTATTGGGATGCTCTAGGGCAGGCCCGACTCAGGTCAGTCTAGTAATTTGGGTGTGGGACTGGAATGAAGTGGGATACTTGTAGACCATCTAACAGTCAACAAAAAAAAAAGGTTACTTAGCCACAGCGTGGAAAGGATGTTCAGCTAAGACACCCCATTGATTTAGTAGGGCGAAACTGCCTTACTTCTGTGTTGGCTATGTGGGTCTGTTGGTTGGTAGCCTGAGGGTGAAGCCTCTGATTTCCTGTGCACTGGCCTTTGTAATTAATCCACCAGGAAGCTACATCAGTGGTTTGAACCTTCATCCCCCAGGCCAATTAAATCTTGAGGATGTTTTCAACACCTTTTAAGCCTAGCCTGTGTTGGGTTCAGTCCCTGGAAAAGCTAGCTTAGTCCACAGGACAGGAGATCCTGATCCCTTGGAGCCCTAAATCTAGGATTAGGAAACTTGGGTTTATATCTTCAGTCTTACACTTAATAATTCCATGTGCTGTATATGTCATTTAGCATTTTTTAGACTCAGTTTCATCCTTTGAAAAAAATAAAGAAAATAATGTGTATATATATATATATATATATATATATATATATATATACACGTGTGTATTTGTATATATATATATATATAAAACTATGCAAAACAATAATAATAATTCCTATCTCACAGCATTAGGAGGAAAGCGCTTTATAAACTGTAAAGCACCAAATAAATGTGAGTGATTTTTTGTTGTTATCACTCTTCAATAAATTCATTTAATTATACATTCAACAAGCATTTATTTAGTAAATGTTTACTCTGTACCAGGCTTAGTGCTAAGCATCAAGGAAACAAAGATAAAAATCAAATAGCCCTTGCCTTCAAGGAGTTTCCAGTCTATTTGGGAAAAATGATTTGGATGCCTAATCATGATGCACGGATGACCCAGGGTTCTTGAAGGCTGTAGTGATGGAACATGAGCTCTGGCAGGCCCTCTCAAGCCTAAAGGGCCCAATGATGGTTTCTGTTCAAGTTTGGTCACCTAGTGATGATTTTTATTTTATTTCAGGCCACTGAGGCTCATTTGGAAGACAACAAAAGGAAAGTGTGCTGAGTACTGGATTCAAATCCTGACCCTGCCACTTACTCCCTGTATAACTTTAGGTAAATCACTGTATCTTTCTGAGCCTTAATTTCCTCATTTGTAAAATGAAGAGGCTGGATTAAATGGCGTCTGAGCTTAGATCTATGATATCCTGATTATTGTAGGAGGTGTCCGGAGCTCTGAAGTCGTAGATTCTTGAAGGACCACTGTATTATTATTATTATTATCATTAGCTGAATCTCTTGATTTCCCATCTAGGGTTCCTTACACTGTATTTGTTTCACAGCAGTGATTCAGTCACTAAATTTTTTAGGATTTGAATCATTTCCTTGTTTCTCACAGACACAGATGGGATTTTACTGACAGAAATAGAGGGAAAACCAGCTAATGACCAGATGCAGATCTGTCCAGTTTGGAGATTAAACTTAAGCTGTCACCTTAGTTGTTTGCTAGTGTCAGATAAAGTTGCTATGTTCAGTTATCTTAATTAGGTAGTACTATGTGTCTATATGGATAGTCTGTGAAAGTCAACAAACATTTTTTAAAAACCTACTGTGTGCCAAGCACTGTGCAGTACATGAGGGATATAAAGATGAAAAATGACAAAGGCCCTTCCCTTGACCCATCAAATCAGTCAGCAAGCATTTCTTAAGAACCTATTATGTGCAAGGTACTTTTACCACGCACTGGAGACAGAGACAAAAATGAAATTTTTTACCTTCAAGGAGTGCAAAAGAATCTGCAGGATATATACCAAATAAATACAAAGGACAGTTTTTCCCCCAAGGGGAGGCTCTAGCAACCAGGGGGATCAGGAAAACAATTTATCAATAAGCAAAAATGCTTAGCACAGTGCCTGGCACATAGTAGGTGCTTAATAAATTCTTGTTTTCTTCCTTCTTCACCCTTTATTAAGCTATATGCCAAGTGCTGTGATAGGCAGTGAGGATAGAAATACAAAAATGAAAACATTCTTCACCTCAAGGAGCTTACTTTGTAACAGAAGAGACTCTATATGCATAGAAATATATATTAGATGTATACAAGAGAGAGAAGGGCTGTAGGATATGGGGAGAATTAGGAAAGACATCATACAGGAAGAGGTGTTTGAGTTGAGCTCGAAGGAAACTCGGTGGCTGAGATTAGGAGGCAGTGTATTCTGGGCATGGAAAAGTCTTGTTCAAAGACACAAGAACATAAGTTTTTATGTTCTGAGGAATAGCAGAAGGGGGAGAGATGGGGAAGGAGTTGACTAGAATGTATTTTGTGAAAGGGAGTCATATAGTAAGTCTGGAAACATAAGATAGAGCTAGGTTGTGAAAGACTTTATGGGAGGAGTTTGTATCTAATCCTGGAAGTAATAGGGAGCCACTAGAATTTATTGAGCTGAGGAGTAACAGGGTCACATCTGTACTTTAGTCATGTCACTTTGGTAGCTGGGTATGGGAGAGGTTTTGTGCAATCACTGGTTTGGGTATTTCAAAGGATCCTTACTGGCCATCTAGTCAAACCCAAATCTGAAAGTAGTCATGTAGTCTCTTCTTAGGACAGTAAAGTGGTACAGTGGATAGAGTACTGGGGCAGGCTGAAGGCTTGTAGTCACCAACACCATCAGTTGCTTATTTCCTTGCTCCAGTCCTGAAACCAACAATGGCTCCCCTCAACAAATATTATTATTATTATTGTTGTTGTTATTTTTATTCAGACTTGAGATTTCACGGGTGTGGACAATTCCCAGTGAGGAAAGTGCCTCTACTAATGAAGATCAACACCATCTTTACAATTTATACTCTTTTTTATTTTCATTTTTTTAAAATATATTTTTAGGCAATTGGGGCTAAGTGACTTGCCCTGGATCACACAGCAAATGTGTGACAAAGTATGTGGTTTTTATGACCACAAGGCTTGCTCCAGATTGATTATCCCCAATTTGCCTCTCCTTAAATGGATTATTACTGTGTCTTTCCATCCAAGGACATTGACAGGAAATGGGAAGGCCTCCCACATTCTACTTTTGCATAGGCTATGCCCCCAAGCCTAGAATGCTCTCCCTCCTTACTCTGTTTCTTGGAATTCCTAGCTTCCTTCAAAGTGCAGCTCTAGGGGCAGCTAGGTGGTGCGGTGAATAGATCACCGGCCCTGAAATCAGTAGGACCTGAGTTCAAATCCGGCCTCAGACCAGACACTTGACACTTACTGGCTGTGTGACCCTGGGCAAGTCACTTAACCCCAATTGCCTAAAAACAAAACAACCCCCCCCCCACACAAAGTGCAGCTCAAGTGCCATGTCCCTGTATGAGGGCATTTCTGGTTTTTCCAGTTGTTAGTGGCCCTCCTCCTGCCTCCTGAATTATTCTCTGTGTGTGTGTGTGTGTGTGTGTGTGTGTGTGTGTATGTATGACAGAAGCATGCATGTTTGCATACATATACACATATCCTATATAGACTTAACCTGTGTCTATTGCATTCCCCCCCCCACCCCAGTAGAATGATGTAAACTCTTGATGTCACAGAATGTTTCGTTTATCCCTAGCACCTTGTATAGTGCCATGTATGTAGTAGGAACTTAAGAAATACTAGTTAAATTTAGTTGAACAACCCAAGAAGAAAGATTTTTAAGACCAATGGCTTGTCTTCCAAATAAAACCAGCATCCTCAGATTTGTTTTGGAGAAACTATTAGAGTGAATTTTTAATACAGCTTGTTATTACGGTTTTTGTTGTTGTTGTTCTTCTTCTTCTTTAAACAAATTCACTAACTAGTGAATGCCTCCTCCTGGCTGGACGGAAAAATATATGGGGTGTATTTTTTTAGGAACATTGCTGAAGAAAATGTAAATAAGTTCACCCTTTCCTCCTGAAATTGCTCTTGAAGGACTGAATTCATATGCTTGGAGTCTTTTTAAGATTCATAGTACCAGAGGGAGGATGGCTTTTATCCACCCCCCACCAATTTTTTTTTGGAGGTTAAAACACCATCCTTGGTAGGTTGTCTTAATTGCTACTTTGCACTGCCCTTGAGTATGACTGATTTTTGGCACATGCAATCATACAAAAAGTTCCTAAAATAAAGTGCTACAGGGTATCCCAAGAACTCTTAGGAAGCTTTAAAAAGAGAACCACACACTAGCAGCATCTCTTTGGTGAAGACCAATCAGCCAAGCTGAATGGCTGCAGCAAAACGAAGGAACTGAGGTCAGTGGTTAATTGAGTTCTCTGAGTAGGTAGAGAAAATCCTGGCCTGTCAGTCTTGTGGTTTCCAGGAGTTTGACATGAGTCCAGATCTGATAAATACAAGTGTTGTGTTTTTTTTTTCCTCTTCTAAGTGACTATACATTTAAATAGCTAAAACATCTGTTCGGTAACACTGTAAACCATGTACACTCAGAACTCCTGATAAAGAGGACTGACAAACAGCTGGTTCAGAGAGACGTGGATAAAATAGCCGCTGTCAGTTTTACCAGACATAACCAGAGTGATCCCTAGAAGGATCAATATTTGGAGATTTGTTTGTTTTTTTTTTTAATTGCCTGAGAGAAAAGGACAAAGAGAAACTTGCTAACAGGAATGTATTTTTAAGTTGTCAATAACGAAAACAAGAAGGAGTGAGCAAGCCCATGGAAGCAGGTAGTTACTAACATATTGAGATCCTTCACCAACCAAAGGAAAGCCAGTTTCTTCCAGAAGCCTGTCCAGAGCTCATCTGATGGAAGCAGAGGCAGGCAAGAATGCAAAGCAAGGCACTGGGAAGGCGGCCAGCAAAGCCATTCGAGTTGCCTTGGTCATCTTTATCACTGGAACTGCTGTGCTTGGGACCCTGCTTTTCTTGGGTAAGCCCTTCATTGGAAGCAAAGGGAAGGGTGGTGGCACTGTGGGCTTTCTTTGGGCTCAGTACAGCAAACTTTATTGAAATGTGAGTCCACTAGGGTTTGCTTATGAAGATGTGTGTACCAATCTTGAGTTTCTATTAAAATGAAAACAAAAGGGAAGACAAGGCTTCAGAGCACTGATCTGAATGAAAACTGCTTTAACTGATTGGTGGATTTTGTGGTATTAGATAAAATTTTTCTGAGCATCCCATGGAGAGATCAGAAGTTATAGATTCAGAGAGTCAAATTCATCTGCTTAATTTAAGTTAATTTTTGAAAAAGAAAACCAAAATAAAACCTTGCTTTATTTAACACCTTAACAGAAACATGCTGAGCTTTCTTTCACTTTGATTTTTATGAATCTTTGCTCAAATGACATATAAATTGAATAACCTTTTTTTAAAAGGGATACTTTTATGAATCTTTTACACTCCAGAAATCAAAGGAGAGAAGGAGTTAAAAACAATTATCTCTATTATATTTAATAATGTTGAGGGAAATGGAGATTTTTTTTTAAAAGAAATAAACAATTATGTTATATTTTCTTTAAAAGAAATTATGTGAGCTCCCTGAGAGCAAGGATCTATTGTTTGCCTTTGCTTATATCCCCAATGTTTAGTACAGTACCTGGCATATAGTAGATTTTTAATAAATGCTTGTTGACTTGGCTTGACTTTAGAATGAGAACGTCCTGAATCTGTGGGCATTGATAAAAAATTTATTTCTAACAGACATAAAATAGCTCACAAATAGGAGGAGAGGGATATCCTAGATTTTTAGTAATCATGAACTTGAAAATAATCTTTTTTATTGCTCTCCACTAATCCTTAATCACCTGTTTGACTTAGGTAAAGCTGCTTCATCTTTCTGTTCCTCAGTTTCCTCATCTGTAAAATGGGCTGCAACAGATGGTCTTTAAGGTCTCTTCCATCCCCTCTATCATCATGTTTAAATCTAATTGATTATCTTGAAAGGTACACAGGAAGAAGGTTTATGCTTGGGAGGCTTTAAATGTATTTAATAATTCATGTGGTTAGAGAGAATGTGTTCTGAGGCATGTAGAGAATCCAGGAATCCACAGTTATGTTGGCAGAGCAAAACTGCTGATTTGCTTTTCTCTTAAAAAGAGTAAGAATTATGTGGCTTGAAAGCTCTGTTCAAAGAAGAAATCATTTTCCCACATTTTATGCTACTGTAGATTTAGAAAATGGGTTGCATCTCTTGCTTTCTGTGAGGACAAATTGTCCTAATGGGACTTTTGGGTTCGTGGTTCTCTAAAACGGTGCTGTTTCTCACTATTCAGTGCTTCAGTGAAATGTTGTGGGCAAAGTTATGAAACCATTTCAAGGACTTATAATAGGCTGCCACAGAGTGTAAAGGAAATCAGTCCGACTCAAGAAATGTAAATGGTTCTTAGCATCCCGGCTCTGTGCTAGGTGCAGGGGGTACAGTGCCAAAAAATAAACCAATCCTTGCCCTCAAAGAGCCAGTATTCTACTGAGGGTGGGGAATAGAATGTGATTGATTTGGGGAAAGACAAACATGCCAAACTCTAGACATCCCAAGGAGAGCAGTTACCTTCAAAGGAGGCTGGGCATTTATAAATGTTCATGATCCTGTGATGCCACATCGTTGGACCTCCTGTGGAATTGTATTGAGGGCCTATAGCATATTCTTTTAAATGTCCCCACTAACAGAAAATATGTGTCCTTGGGGTTCATGGAGGCAGGGATTGGGGGAGATTTGATTTTAGAAACAGACAAAAGTCAGCAGGAGGGGCAGTTAGGTGGTACAATGGATAGAGCACCAGGCTTGGAGTCAGGAGGACCTGAGTTCAAATCCGACCTCAGACACCTTACTAGTTGTGTGACCAGCGTAAGTCATTTAACCCTGATTGCCTGTCCCCAAAGAAAAAGAAGTCAATGGGAGACACATCTGAATATCAAACTAGGGAATAATAATTTTCATCAAAAAATCAAGGGTGATTACAAAGAAATGAGATGGTCTTCCCTTATATGCTTGTCGAATTAAGTCCCATGGTTACAGTGATTTGTAGAATATGGGATCATAAGCCTAGAATTGGAAAGGTTCTAGGTCCAGAGAAATTAAATGACTTGTCCAAGATCATGTAGGCATTGTATCAGAGGGGATTTGAACTCATATCTCTGACTCTGCAGCCAGTCCTCTTTCTATTGTACTGTTATAAAAAGAGTTTTCATATACAGCCTCCCATTTGATCCTCGTAAGAATTTAGTGAGGGAGTCAAGAGAGGTACCATCACCAGTTTATAGGTGAGAAAACTGAAGCTTGGAGAGATTAAATATGTTGACCACGGCTCTAGGCCTAGTAAGTGGCAGAGCCACTCTGAAATGCCTGGAGTCACATTGAAATCTTTCAGGATCTATTTCCCCTGTGCCAAGCTGCTTCCAAAAATGTAGTTCCCTGAAAGGGAGCTCACACATGTTTTGATCAAAGTCACTTCATTGGAGTAAGTATAATTTCCTAAAGTGACAACTTGGAAAGAAAATTCTCATTTGAATGTATAAGTTCTGGTGAGTTTATATAAAAAGAAGAGAGAGAGAGAGAGACAGAGAGAGAGACAGACAGAAAGACACAGAGAGGCAGAGACAAAGAGTGAGACGGAGAGATGGAGACAGAGGGAGTGAGATACAGTTTAATATGCATCGTTAATTTTCCATCATTTTTTTAAATCTAGAAATCAACAAAACAATAAATCAAGTCCTGATTTGCAGTATTTGCTTATTTCTGAGGTGTAAATGCTCACTTACGCTGAAAATTTAACAATCATCTCAATCAGAGCTGTATACTCCTATTGAATGTCTATTGAATGGTAGAGTTAGAAAGAATCTTAGCAATTATCTATGCCAGCCTCCTCATTTTGCATAAAGAAAATGAGGCTCTAGATAGAGTTATCTTACAGGGAGTTAGTGACAGAAAGTAGACCAGATCTCCTGCCTCCCTAGGTCAGTGCTCTTTTCCATTGCACCTGGTTGTCTTCTATTTGTAAACTCCAATTCTGTCTCCTTTCTCTTTTGCTAGTATATGGTCTGTGATAACTGTTTAAAAAAATCTTTCTATTTCTCCTAAATAAAGAGCCACCAGTATTATATTTAGGGGCTATGCAGTAATTTCAGATGTTTATTTTACTTATCTAGGATTTTAAATATTGGGGTTGAAGAGGTGAACATTCTTAATTAAATTTGTCCACATTTGGTTCCTCTCGGCATCTGTCTGTGTTTTACAAGTCTCTGTTCTTCCACTGCTTCCTTTAGTAAAGAGAAACTTAAAACAAATTCAATTACCTTTTTAAAAAAAATTTCATTTAAACCCCCATTAATAGAATACAATATTCACTTTCATTAGTGAATTAATTAATTCAATCCATTATTTCCACTTGTTCTTTTGGATTGAGAGAACAATTCTTCTCTTTTTTTGTCAGAATGTTTCTTTTAATCCAGTTTTACTCACCTTGGTTTACTTTTTTTTTTTTTGTCTAGGCAGTGGGGTTAAGTGACTTGCCCAGGGTCACACAGCTAGTAAGTGTTATGTGTCTGAGGCTGAATTTGAACTCAGGTGCTCCTAAATCTAGGGCTGGTGCTCTATCCACTGTGCCACCTTGCTGCCCTGATTTACTTTTTAAACGTGGAAATCAGCTCTCTTTCTAGTCTCTGATGAATTGGAATTCTCTGAGACATCTGATCTAGAGTCTAATTCATCTAATGTTGAACTTTAAATATTTTTTGTTTGCTTTTTGGTCTGTTTTCTTTTGTTTAAGAGGGGTAGCATGGGGTGGGGCAACTAGGTGGCAGTGATAGAGCCCTAGTCTTGGAATCAGGAAAAATGTCCATAAGTTCAAATATGGCTTCAGACACTTACTAGCTGGGTGGCCCTAGGCAAGTCATTTAATTCTCTTTGCCTCAGTTTCCTCATCTGTAAAATGAGCTGGAGATGGAAATAGCAAACCAGAATCTTTGCCAAGGAAACTCTAAAAGAGGGGTCACAAAGAGTCAGACAGGACTGAAAAGTGACTAAACAACAACAAAGGTCTCACAGTGGATAGAATTCTGAGCCTGGAGTCAGGAAGACTCATCTTCCGGAGTTTAAATCTGTCCTTAGACACTGACTAGCTATGTGACCCTGGGCAAGTCACTTAACCCTGTTTGCCTCAGTTTCCTTATCTGCAAAATGATCTGGAAAAGAAAATGGCAAACCATTCCAGTATCTTTGCCAAGAAAACCCCAAATGGGGTCACAAAGAGGCTGACAAAACTGAAATGACTGAACAATAACAAAAGCATGGGATAAGGGATAGACAGAGCAGCCTCAAAGTCAGAAAAAACCTGGGCTCAAATCTAGCTTCTGACATATGGTAACTCTACTACCTTAGGCAAGTACCTTAACCAGTCAATGTATAAAGCAATGCTCTCTGATTATAAATTGTAGATGAGTTGCTGACCTGTGTTGTTGGAGGAAGTTTACAGGGAGTTTGCTAAAACCATGAAATCATAAGTGTGGATGCTTTCCCCTACCAAATTCTGGTGTTTTTTTTTTAAATCATTCTTCTTGGGTTTAGTTTTTAATCATTTATTTGCATTAATGTCTAATAACCTATTCAACTGACACCCTCAATAGATCACTTCATAATAATAGGTGACTTGAGAAAATTATGTGACATGAAGCATTTGTGTAGAAATGTAAGAACAAAGTTATTCTTTTTTAAATTCAAAAACTCAAAATGCATTTTCATTTTTAAAAGCTTCATTTCTGGAAAGCAGGCAGGCAGGTGGGCCTTCTTCTGGGGTTGGACCAAAGATAATTTACTGGTATTTATAATACAGTCCTGATAAAAGCGTTGTATTAAGAGCAGTGCTAGAGGAAAGTATGAAAGTAAAAGTAGGTTTCTTCCCTACATCCCTCCTTTTTAGGACCCTATCAAGAAAAAATAAGAATCATGATGCTAGCAAGTCATCTCCAATATTTCACTTTCAGCTGAAACATTGGCACCAATCTAAGTTCACTGAGTCTCCTTCCTGGATGAGTGTAAGCAAGTTTGCTTCTCTCCACTGGACATTTTGTTGGGATTTTGGATAGCTGACATGCAGACAGAGGTCCCCATGCTGCTATGGAATTATCTATTCCCCTGCGATGACATCTCCAAATGACTCCTTGTTTCCACTCACAGATAACAGTAATAATGAGTTCAGCATGATTTCCCCAGTGACCAAAAATATTTTTGAAATTCAAATTTGCAGCTGCTATAAATCCCACGATGAAGAAACATGTCGAACTCCTGTGAGTTCCTGTGTGATGCAGTGTAGTGGTCTTCTATGAGGCTCAGTTGAAGTGATACTGTTAGCAAGCGAGGGAAATTAGACCAATTGAGAAAGACTCCTACACCTGGATCACTTGCTGGGAAACTTGTAAGATGCTGTTTTGATGGAATCACATAATGTAACTCTGGTAGTTATATGATTGACCATCTGGAAGCTCATCTTAATAAATTGTCTTACTTTTTGAGGGAACTAGATAATGATTCAGATGAAAGATGAATATTCTTATATTTATAATGTATAGTAATAGCCAGAATTTATATGTTGCCTTAAGGTTTGCAGAGTGCTTTACATATGTTATATCATTTGATACTAACAACAACACTACAAGGAAGATTTTTTTAAATCTCCATTCTACAGATGAGGAAGCTCAGGCTAAGAAAGTCACATAGCCAGTGTCTAAGGTATGATTTGAACTTAGTTCTTCCTGAACTCCAGCACTCTATTCACTGTGACACTTTGCATCCTCTAGTATGTGTATACATATACACACATGCATATCTAGAGGCAGTGAAAAAAATTCTGAAGTTACAGGATTTGAGTTCAAATTTCACCTCTGATACTTATGACTTTTGTGACTTTGTGACCTTGGGCAAGTCACAACCCCCTTGGCCTTCAGTTTCCTCATTTATAAATCAAGTGAATTGAACTAGAATGGCCTCAGAGGTTCACTCTAGTTCTAGACCTGTCTGTCTGTCTGTCTGTTTCTATCTATCTATCTATCTATCTATCTATCTATCTATCTATCTATCTATCTATCTATCTATCTAACTAGCTAGCTAGCTAGCTATCATGGCTGAGACATCCCGCTTTCAGATGTAGGGCCCCCAGAGTAGCTATCCCAGGCTCAACGTACTCTGTAGTTCTTCATCCACCTACCAGTGTGTTTACCTTTTTCTCCCCTAGTTAGAGGACATAATTAGTTCAAAGCAAAGTCATTTAATGAAATCAAATAGCCAAAAAAGTTGCATTGGAACATTCTTTCCATAAACCTAAGGTACTCTCTTGCGCAAGTAGCTGGCAAAGTGGACAGAGTGCTGGGCCTGAAGTCAGGAGGAATCCTCTTCCTGAGTTCAAATCTGGCCTCAGGCACTTACTGCCTGTGTGACCCTGGGCAAGTCACTTAACCCTGTTTGCCTCAGTTTCCTCCTCTGTAAAATGAGCTGGAGAAGGAAATAGCAAACCACTCCAGTATCACTGCCTCCAAATGGGATCATGAAGAGTTGGACAAAATACATGCATGCCCAATGGAGACAATGAGTGCATACAGAGATCTGTGCACTAGAGGCCCCCATACTTTGGAAACATTCAGGATACTCACATCTCCTATGCTGTAGCATCGCTCATGCCTTCTGGTGATATCATTGCCTGCTTTTATTGGATTTGTATAACACTGCATTTGGTAACTCCCGTGAGCATGTTGCACCGCTGGTATTCTGTTGTTAGCCTTGTGGCTATAGTTGGTGGCAGTGGGTAGTGGTAATTTCTTCTGGGCATTGTTCTACAGCTCTAAGACGGTCTTGGGGTGGCTATTGCTCCACTTGTGGTAGTTGTTGCCCTCTGGGTATATAGCTTCTGCTGAGGATAGCTCCCTGCTGCAGCTTATGTGCTCTTCTCTTCAGGACCACCCATTTACCCTCTCAGGAATGGGCTGTTAGGGGTTTGGCTAGAATTTTCCCAAGCTGGGGCAGGTGGAGAGCTCTTTAGGCAAAACTACCATACTCAGCTGATGAAAGCCAGGAGCAGAATGTCCCAAGGCTGGGACTATGTCAGGTGGACATCAAAGCCCTTTGTTATGGATAACTATCTCATTGGGGATTAGCAACAAAACCTTACTGCTTTCGCACTGTTTTCAATACAGTGGAAAAACCTCACTGTCCCCTGCATATCTGTCTATTCTCCTAAATAAAGCATTTGTGATTTTGCCCAACCATCCCAATTTGCCAACGGTCCCCTGATCAATAAATTTCAGTGGTTCCCTACTGTATCCGAGACAAAGTATGAGTTCTTCAAATGCTCATTTAAAGCAGCCTCTAGACTGCCTTTTCAGTTTTATTTTATGTCACTCCCCTTTACTCGTGTTATGTTCCAGTCAAACTGGTCTCTTTGGCTGTTCATGTAATAAAACTAACTCGACTACATTATCAGGAGCTCAGCATTCTTTGTACACTTTGTCCCCCTGCCTGGAACATATTTTTTTTCACATCTGTGTCTTAGAATCTCTACTTCCTTTGAAGGCTCAGCTCGTGTCTCTGCTCCTAAAGAATCCTTTTTTCTTTCTTTAAGATGCTAGCTTTCCTTCCCTTCTCAAATAGTCACAAATAGACACACATGTATAATATACTTAGCTGTTTATGCTTTGTATCCCACAGTTAGAATGTAAGCTTCCAGCACCTATAGCATAATGCAGTGGGTATAGTAGGAGCATAATAAAAATTCCTGCTGAATTACTGGTGTGTACATTCCTTCCACTAATGAATATTGCAACCCATTTAAAATATGATCTTTGAGAGCTGCTATGGCTAAAAGTTCATCAGTTTGGGGGGTAACCTGATTGTGAACCACTCCAGTTTAGCCAATTTAGACTTTGGATGGTAGATATGCAGTCTGTAACTGAACTGACTAGAATATGTATATGTGTGTATGTGTATTACTGTATGCCCAATGCTAGCTCAGAAATTCTGGATGTAGCTCAAATCACGGGTCAATCAATCAGTCAGTCAGTCAGTAAATAAATACTTATTAGGCACCTACTTTGTGCCAGGTAGTATACTAAGTGCTGGGGATACAAAAAAACCCTAAAAAACAAACAAACAAATAAAAGCAAAAGATAGTTCCTGCCTTCAAAAATCAATCTAATGGAATCATTAGAATAATCCATTCAAAGCTGAAAGGGAACTAGGAAATGTCAAAATCTTTTGATTTCATAAATGAAAAAAAAAACAGGTCCCGAGACAGTAATAATTTGTTCAAGGTCATACAAACAATAGTAGCAAACCTACTCTGATTCTAAATCTGTGGTTCTTTTCAGTAGCTGATGCTGCTTCCAAGACCTGATTTTCTTTTCTCTAAAATGGGGATGATAAGACTCCAAAGATAAAACTCTATGGATTAAATTGCTGCTTATTACACAACATATGAAAAACCAAAGATGCTAAGTGCTATCCCAAACAACTCATTCATGTGAATCCACACCTCTGCTGGTGGCTCAGTACACCACAGGTAATTGACTTATTTATTTTTCTTTTCTATTTTTCAGTTAGCCAAGGTTTTTTAAGTCTTCAAGCTAAACAGAAATACTGCTTGACGCCAGAATGCATTGAAGTTGGTAAGTAACAATTTCCCATCCTGTACTGAGTTGTAATTATGGTACCTTGAGGAAAGGAATAGAAAACAGGTGACATTTTTAGACTTCTGCTTGTTGGAGGTTTACCTTGTGGTAAATGCAGTTTTGATTAAATGTTAAGTTTGGCTAAAAATAAACCCCTGTGTGCCAAATCCTGGACAGGAGGTTTCTGGTTTTCTTGTTTCTTTCCCAGGGAATAGCTGCATTGTATTCTGAGCATCTCTGTAAAAAATTATGATGGAAACCAAAAGGCTGAACAGCCTCTTTTCAAACAAGTCTTGAGGCAGCTCATACTGGACACAGTTTCATCTCACCCTGACAAACACTTTCAAACTGCTCTGTAGACAGAGATTAGTCCTTATACTATTTTTGAGCAGAAATTCACTTTTTTTTTTTGAGCAATAGGTTCTGTTGGAAGTCAAAAGACCTTTTCTTTTATTTTTAATGTTTGGGTATAGCCTACCAGAAAGGGACGTTTTACATAATGCTACTAAGATGCTGACTTACAATTTTCTTGGATCTCACATGTATTCCTCCAGATGAAATGTCCTTCTTTGGCTGGGATTAATCAGGTCATATGTGAGTGGGTATCCCACAGAGAATATTTACAATGCAAAGTTCTTCCTCCTTCCTTATCTTTTCTTTTTTTCCATGTCTCCTTTCCTTCCTTCCCTTTCTCCCTCCCTCTCTCTCTCTCTTTCCTTCCTTCTTTTTTTCCTTCCTTCCTCCCTCAAACATTTGCATGTTATATAAACCATATATTTTCAATGTACTATGCTAGGTGCTAATGTAGGTACATAGATAAATAAGATATGATCCTTGTCCTCCAGAATTCTATAATCCAATAAGGGATCTAAGATAAATATAATACAAATATTAATACAATAATAAATATAATACAAATTACAAGTGCATAAGATTAGTACAATGTGCTATGAGGTCATAGGAGGTGAGGTTAGGAAAGGCTTCATAGTGGCAGATGAGCTAGGCCTAGGAGAATGGAATAGAATTTTAAGATGTGGAGGTGGTAAAAAGGGAATATTAGGGAAAAATATAGGCAATAGTATGTCAAAACCATGGAGATGAAGAGTCTTGAATGCGAGGCTAAGCTTCTTTATTTCTACCTACCTGATTGGTTTTCCTTTAACTCAGGAATAGAGCCTAGATATTTGGGACCTTTTGCTCAACCCTTCAGGTGGTACTTTAGGTGGGCAACACCAAGGGCATGTGTTAGTTGATTTCAATATTTCTCAGAGTAGACATCACAAGCCCGGGTGGGATCAAGACCCATCCTGTGGACAGTTCCCCTCACTAGTCTTTCTAGTGTTTTCTTGATCCCACTCATTCTTGAGTTGGCAATGCAGCTAGGTGGCGCCATAGTGCACAGAGTGCCTGGCCTGAAGTTGGGAAGACTCATCTTCTGAGTTCAAATCCAGCCTGAGACACTTACTGTGTGACCCTGGGAAAGTCACTTAACTCTTTTGCCTCATTTTCTTCATCTGTAAAATGAGCTGGAGAAGGAAATGACAAACCGCTCTAGTATCTTTGCCAACAAAACCCCAAATAGGGTCATAAAGTGTCAGACATGACTGAAAAATTACTGAACAACAAAAATTCTTGATTGGTGTGGGACTATTTCTGGCACAGGTCTTAGTTTTGGTTCTGTGTTTCTCTTATTACTGAGCATTTCAGAAATAAATCAGGTTAGGCCTTCCCAACTTTCTTGGTATGCCCCTACAAGTTTATATCCCATTCATGGGTGTTTGAGATTCAAATGAGATAATGGATATAAGGCATTTTGCAAATCTTAAAATGTTCTATAAATGCCAGTTGCATAATAATAGTAATAATAATAATAATAATGATGGTTATTATTATTATTAACCTACAATCACTAGGCCTGTGGTCTGGTGATGACTTCATTCCCTGAGCCTCCTACTGCAGGCCTGCTGAGCTCAAGCAGTATTTACAGAGCAATTCAAAGGTTTGCTGGTAAATGTTTAAAGTAAGGAGAATGTATGTACACATGCTTTTAAGTTTAATCTGCATTATTAACATTTTAAGTCTAGACAATGAACAAAACTATAATGCGACCTTTGATTTGTAGCAATTACTGATTTCTGATTTAAATGCTTACACTGCAAATTTAACAATGGCCTCTGAGCAAGTCCTAAGGAGTCCCTGTCCCCATCTTTGCTCCCAGAATGATTTGTGTCCCCAGGCCTCACCCTGTTTTTATCCAGAAGGATGTCCATGCCCACTTATTGTAGATTTTCTTTTAGAAATGTATAGTTGGGTATGGTAGCCCACTTGAGGAAAAAGTGAGACTATCATTTTTAATATGTAGGTTAGCCAGTGACTTATCTGTTTATATTGTTTACCATATCAGTAAAGGAGTGCGAAAGAGAGAGCATAGAAAAATTTGGAAAGGTGGAAGAATTCACTAAAATTTTTAAATTCATAAATTTTTATGAAGTCTTTTCATACCATGGGCCACTTATTTTGTTTAAACTTTGCCCATCCCTTGTTTATAAGCTAATAATGTCCTTTCCAGAGGTTCACTTGATAATAAGGCCACCTGCCATGTAGTAGGTTTTTTTCCCTCCTTCTTGCAGTTCTGTTTTTAATTTTTGCTTAAGGGAATGACTTATGAATGTTAAAAATAAAATGGAAATATTGCTATTTCTATAGGAAAGGCACATCAAAATACATTCCGCTATTATGTAATTTGAAACCCAGAAGCCCCAGTGGCCCTGAGAACACCTGTTCAGTGTACATCATCAGAAGAGCTTTGGCCAACTAGAAAGCTTATGCAAGAAACAGTGGTTAAGGTGTTATGTCTGTACTCAGGGGTTAGGAATAGGGTACTGAGAAAGGGTTTGGGGAAAGATATAGCACTTTATAATATTATGTAATGTGTTAACATCACATTATTATTGTTGCTACTTAATTCATAAAATGCTTTCATCACAATAGTCGTGCAAGGTGAATTATTAAGAACATCCGTGGATATGTTATTTCATTGATGTGGTTCTTTTCAGTGATACATAAAATAATTAATTTGTGACTGTTCATGTTATGCAACTGTTATTCATGTCCTCCCATGACTCCTCCATAGGAGGTCTTGCCATTTTGTAGATATCAACGGAGAATGTGGAATATTAATTGATTATCCCTTATTCTTGCTTTGTGTATAGACCATCTCTTTTCTCAAGCATATATCTCTGTGATGATGTCATTTGTGCTACTTTTCATGAACGATTTTTCATTGGTAATGTGTTGCAGCTTTCGTAAATCCATTATGCACCTCTCCATTATTCTTTGGTGATGCTTGACTTTAATTTTTTTGGATTTCCATGGCTCTCAACCATGCATCATCACTAGAAGAATATTATTGTTTAAAAGATAGCCCTTGTCTTAGGGAAAATCTTGGGGTCATTAAAAGTGCCATGCAATTTCCTAAAGGCCGTCTAGTTGATTCTCTTCAATTCTATCCCAGATTATTGTCAATTTGCAGGCTCTGTCCAAGAGATGTATACAGATGAACCAGCTCTGTGGGTTGTCTAGTATTATAGTTTGAGCAATGAGTATTATTCAGTTCACTTGGTTTTTCTCAATAAGTATAGATAGGTCAAACTCTTTGGAGTGATTATGGATCCCATTTAGAAAACTCTGTAATGTTCTGAGGCTTGACATTTTTAGTACAACGTCACTCACAAACAGGAACATCATTTGAACTCTGAGCAAAATTTCCTCCATAACATCGCGTAATACCTAATTTATGCTTCAGGTGGATGGCTAATCAAAATCTGAAAGTGGCATCCTTTATAAGATGCAGTTGGAAAAATCGAAGTCCAAAAGAGGCTGTTCTTATATTTCAACATTTCTGTTACCTGACCTTTTCATCCTGGAAGATCTATTTGTCCTTTACATCCTATAATTTCAATGGGTAGATAGGGGGACAGAACTCATTTGATCAGGGACCCCCTAACCATCTCCCTCACCCCATTACAGTAGCATACAGTAGATTTAATTGAAAAATTCTTATCAAGTTTTTCAAAGAAATTTATCTGCTTGCTTTATCTATGACAAATATTGGTGCATAAGCTACAATTATTTTCATAGTAGTCTTTTTGCAAATGCTTATTATAAACACTGCAATACAAAAGGACAAAGTGTTCTGTACAAATGTAAGCTAAAACCAACTCCTGGAGCTTTCTGATTCACTATCTGCCTTATAAGCCAACCTTCCATTTAGCAACATTTTTTTTTTCATCTCTGGTTTCATATGTAGTGAAAATATCAAGGTTTATTGATTCATTTACTGCAGTAGTATGTCCACTTGTTGATCATTGGACTAGGATCTCATATTTGGAATATTAATAGCTAAGTTAGTGGTCAATCAATCAACCAATCTACAGGCATTTATTAGGCAATAACTATGTGCCGTGATCTGTGCTAAGTGTTGGGATACAGAGAAAAAGGAAAAAAAATAGTCTCAGCCTTCAAGGAGTTTATATTCTAATGAGGAAGGGCACACATACATAAATAAGTGTACACAAAATACATAAGGAGTAGATGGAAGGTAATGATAGAGGCAGCTAGGTGGTTCAGTGGTCAGGCCGTGGGCCTGGAATCAGGAAGACCTGAGTTCAAACCCAGTCTCAGACACTTCCTAGTTGTATGACCCTAGGCAAGTGATTTAATCAATGTCTGCTTCAGTTTTCTCAACTGTAAAATGTAGACAATAAAAGCTCCTACCTCCCAGGGTTGTTATGAGGATTAAATGGGATGAAATTTGTGAGGTGCTTATCATAGTGCCTGGCACGTAATGAGCGCTTAATAAATGCTTCCTTCCTTCCTTCCTTCCTTCCTTCCTTCCTTCCTTCCTTCCTTCCTTCCTTCCTTCCTTCCTTCCTTCCTTCCTTCCTTCCTTCCTTCCTTCCTTTCTTCCCTCCTTCCCTCTTTTCCTCCCTTTCTCC